ATTCGATTTAACCCAATTAATAATCAATCCAATCCACCTATTTATAGGGCACAGGAACCTGAGTTTTATAGGCTTTGTCAAATCAAAATCTCAGAGGATCCTGACCTTTTTACAAACAAAATCTCAACTGTCCCAAACACCTTTCCTACGCTTGCCCTTGCCCACCCCACCTAACCTAATCCTGTTACTGTCCCTTTAATGCAGACAGTCTTATACCACAACTTTTCCATATCGTACTTTTGTATTTCATCGTTAACGACAAATCAATCCAGCCAAATTCAGCAATTCTCAATTAATTTTTGGGGGTAAAGTACATCTGCACCCCTGAATTTTGTCACTAAATCATACAGTTCCCTCAAATATGACATATTACATTTATCCTCCTTATCATTTATCAATAACAACCCACTGACAGGCATAACAGAAGTTTAGAAGAGTAACCCTTTTACCCTCTTATAAAAAATTAAATCCAATTCACCGAAACCCAAAATCATACAAAACCCATAACCGAAACAACATCAAACCCCAAATATCTGCATATTGATTTAATGGAGTTGGCTTTTTGGTTGTGGTAGGTTCGGATGGACGGGCTGGGGGGTCTTGAGCATGGTGGGTTTGCATCAGGTGGATATGTATGGAGGATTGGGTTGCGATTTTAGGTTTTAGTTATGGTGATGGTTGCGGGATTGCAATCTCTCTCTCTTGCTATTTGATATTGGGCACACTGAGTTTATAATGGTTATAAGTGGTAGTGGTTTGCGACTTTTGGGAATCAGATTGTTAATCAAATTGAGTTATTTGAACTTTGTTTGAATTTAGTTGGGCTCTTTGATATTGGGCACACTGAGTTTATAATAGTTGGCTATAGGTGGCAGTAAGTTGTGACTTTTGGGGATTGGTGTAGGGCTATTTGAATTCAGTTTAAATTTGACTAATTTAAGTACGGTTCAATTTTTAAACGAGTTTAAATTTGAATAAATTTTTAGATTTATTTAGAGAAAAAGTCTTACAAATTCAGCTCAAATTCAATAAACTCGACTCGTTTATATACAAATATTTAAACTCAACTTGTTTTTAACTTGTTCAGATTCAATTCGTTTTGAACAATTTTGTAGATTTGATTAAAACAAAATTTTTAAACTCAAGTCACATTCAATTCAAACTCAATCGACTAATAACCCTAAATTGGTGGGTGGTGGTGGTGATGGCAGTAGTGGCAATGGCGTTGATTTCTCTCTCTCACTCATTCACCTTATGAATTGGGGTGAGGTGCGCTGAGTTTGTTCTATTCTCTCGATTGATTTGTGTGTGTAACAGAACACCAATAATGATATCTAGTTTTAGGGTATTTTGAGAATTTTATCTTCATATTATGATGCTATCATTAAATATAAACAGTTACATTAATGAATATTGATGGTAAAGATTTATGTATTCCATGAATACAAATTTAAAGGATCTAAAAGTAATATTTCAACTGCGAAGAGATTTATATGATTAAGTGATAAAATTAAAAAAGTTCAAATGTAAGCTATCATTAATTTTGATATAATATTCTCATTTTTTTTTGTTCGTATTCGTATACTTATTTCATTAATCTATTTTTCCATTAAATCAGACACTTTTGTTCCGTTTGATAGAAAACATAAAAAATAGGAAGGATGCAAAGTAGGAGAGATACACTCTCTATCATTCAAGAAAGGAAAATAGAAATGATACACTTTTTTTTTTTTTGTGTTTGGTTGGATGAATGAAAAATAAAAATGATTAATTTTATTTTTAATGCTAGTTAAGATTAGGGGTGATAATCGAGTCGTGTCGTATTAGATTCGTATTGAGTCATTACGGATTTGTGTCGAATATTAATCACACTTAACTCAATTCATTTAACTAATTATGTCGTGTCGAGTTGCGAGTTGGCATGTTTTTTTTGAATCCTATTCGTGTTGACCCACATAAATTTTGAATAAAAAATTTAAAGTTAATATTTTATTTTCACTTAATCGAAACCATGTTAATATTTTTTTCTACAAACTAAAAATTAACTTAAATAAATATAATAATAATAAGTAAAAAAATATCTTTTTTATATAATAATTATGTCAATACTTAATAAATAATTACAAATAATTAACATTTTATCTATAATGCTAGTTAAATATGTTAATTTTGTGTTATCATACAAATAAGAAAATAGAGAAAATATTTATTTTTAAATAAATGGGTTGATGATGTCAATTTTGAGTTTGATTGATTAAATTGAATATGAGTCTTTTATATTTCTTGTTCGCGTGTCAGGTTATTTTCAAGTGTGTCAAATTCGAACCGTGTTATCGTGTTAATTCAAAAATTTTTACCCCTAGTTAAGATGAAAAAATATTTTTTTAATTAATTTTTTTTTATATTTTTTTAAAATTTTAAAATATATATATATATATAAATGCATATTTTATTATTATATTTTTATATGAAATTAATGTACACATAATATATGTATATATAAAAAAAATATATATGTATAATAAAGTAACTTACAATTCAAATTTCAAAAGATAAACAAAATAATTTTTGTTATTCTCGGTTGAGATCACTTTAAATTTTATTTTAAAGTTAATATAATAACTAATATTAACACCCTAAATTTAATAGGAAAAATAAGCCTCTAAGTGTAAATTTGAAGTAACTTTTAAAAAATATTTTTAGAAATTATTTTTCATAAATACTTTATAATAAAATAGTGCTTGAAACTGCTCCACCGCTACCTTTATCATCACCACCACTACCATCGTCCCCACCACCACCATTGCCGCAACAGCCACCACTGCGTCCGCCACCATTGTCGCCACTGCTACCACCCCCGGCACCACTACCCCCATCGCCAACCCCACCCCAACCCCCTACCCTCACCACTATTGTTATTGCCGCCACCCCCCACCACCATTGTTGCCATCGCCGTCACCTCCACCACGATCATTGTCACCAACCACAATTATCACCGTCTCCTACTATCACCACTACTGTCCACCACCTCTCACCCCCTATTACAAACTAATGCTTAAATTCTTTTATCTCTTCTTTATGTTTGTAATTTGATTTTAGGTATGAATACAAATATGTTTATTGTTTACCATTTTTTATTATTATGTACCTTCAGGCACTGACAGTAACTAGTTTAAATAATAAAATAGTTTACAATTCAAATTTTAAATGATAAAAAAATAATTTTTACTTTTCGCGGTTCAGATCGTTTTAAATTTTACTTTAAAATTAATATAATGACTAATATTAATATTCTAAATTTAATAGAAAAAATATACACCTCAGAGTGTATTTTGAGTGACTTTTTAAAAATATTTTTTAAAATTATTCATCATAAATACTTAAAAAAAATAGTGTTTGAAACCGTCAAACTACTACCACTACCTCTACCCCCACCATTGCCATCGTTACCGTCACCACCACCATTGCCACCATGGTCATTGCTACCCACCATAACCATCACCGTCTCTTACCACCACCATTGTTGCCCACCACCTTTCACCCTACTACAATCAATGCTTAAATTTATTTATCTCTTTTCTATATTTGTGATTTAATTTTGGATATAAATACAAGTATGTTTATTGTTTACTATTTTTTATAATTCTGTACCTTCGAACACAGACAATAACTAATAAATAAATAAGATAATTTTCAACACAAATAACTAACTTCTCATTTACTTTCTTTCTGATTTTGAAGGAATTGATTTTAGTGATTAATAAATAAAACATCATGGGAAAGAAAAAAATAAGAAGGATAAAATAAATTGATAGATTGATTTTCCTTATTATCCTCCGTTTGATATGATGAAAAAAATGGAAGAATGAAAAATTAGAAGGATAAATAAAACATCATTTCTGGTAAGGAAGAAAAATAGGACAGATGAAAAAGTGAATAAATTAACTTTCTTTCTAACTCACCTGAATCAATCTCTTTAAAATCAGAAAGAAAATAGATGAAAAATTAATTATTTGTACTGAGATATATCTTATTTGTCTATATATTTACATTAATTTCATATAAAAATATAATAATAAAATATATATTTATATATATTTTAAAAAAAATTAAAATAAATTTTAAAATTAAAATTAAAATTTAAAATTTAAAAAAAATTATTTTTTTCACCTTAATTAGGAATAAAAAATTTTGATTCAACAAAATGACATGATTTGAATTTGATATAAATTTTATGACACGAACTTGATTAATTCGAATACAAAAATAAACAGGTCAGTTTATAACTCGACACGACACAATTAATTAAATAAATTGAATTAAATGTAACCAATATTCAACACAAATTCGTAATAATTCAACACAAATCTAACACACACATGACTTGATTGAGACCGCTAATCTTAGCCGGCAAAAATTATTCATGTTTAAGTATAAATTCGACCAGATATAGAAGATAGAGCTTCTTTACCATTCCCTACAAAGCATTACATATATAGAAGATAGAGCTTCTTTACCATTCCCTACAAAGCATTACATATGACAAACTGAGACCCGACAAACACCCACAAAAATCATTGTTAAGAAATAAAAGCTTTTAAACAAACAATACTTGCATAGAATATTGTAATACATATTTACAATAATGAGTTAGATCTATTACATGTAGCAATACTATATAATTATATCTAGACAACCTTGAATAAGCAAGGGAGAATCTATGTTCTGCTATCCCCAAAAAAGAGATTCTACTCTTCATCCCATCATATATTTTAATTCCTTTACCAATACTATTAAATATTCACAGAAGTGTCACTTTCTGCTTTAAAAAGCAATGTTCCATTCTTCTCTCTCTCTCTTTCTCTTCCACTCCGAGAGAGAGACGTAGGGAGGGAGAGAGAGAGATAGAGAGCACCACCCATACCATACCGAGAAAATCACAACCACTTGCCATAAAATTTCTTCATAATTTAACTTTTTCCTTTTTGCACTTCACCATCTCAGAAACCAAAACAATCCGCATTTAAAACACCAAAAGAATTCGGGTCAACCCGATCCAACGGATTCTCCTTGCTTAATTTCTCAAACATCTTGGCCCTCACGTCCCTTCCTGACTCGACCCTCTCCATCACTTGCTCCTCCTCACAACCGTCCTTGTCCCGGAGATCAAAGTGACCAAATCCGAACCGGGTCATAGCCCGAGTCGGAGTGGAAGGTAGGCTACAGAATCCGGATCGGTTTATGGGTACTCTCAGCGACCCGACCCCCGAAGAACTTACCTGTAAGCCCCATGAAGATGGCATAGACTTGACCTTGTTCAGCTGTAAATGACGCAGAGAAACCACCATTTCGTCAATCGAGTTCGAACCCAATGACCGACTTAGTGAGTTCGTATACATTGGAGTCATCGGCGGAGACTCGGTCGACGGCGAAACCGATTCCGGCGACGAAATAAAAGTTAACCCCTTCTTACAAGAACCCTCCAAAGCCAACCTAAGAGGGGACCCATCGTATGATTCGTTTCTCGGACTCAGTCCATCGTATGACTCTGTTCTCGGACTCAGTACGCGGAGCTGGTCCGGCGAGTGAGCGAAGAAACAGACCCGCCTTCGACAGTTCAGCCCATCTTTACAGGGCTGCGTACGATAGCGAGATGGGTGGAGCCAACACTCAAATACGCCGTGGGCGAACTCACACGCGTCCCCTTTTACGCAGTTACCTCTGCGAAAGTCCGGACAAGCTGTGCCGGAGTAGTGGTACTTACGTGGGTCCCTCCGGCGAGCCTTCTCTCCGGGGTGAGCGTAAGGACAGTCCGTCCAGTCATGTGACCTCCCACGTGCGCAGTTTCGAACCTTGAACTCGAACATCCGGAAATGATCGCACCGGGAGAAGTCCACCGGCAGATCCAAATCATCACCTAAAACGTCGTCGTTGGAGTTGGAGTAGATGTCGAGGTCGTCTGTATTTGACGGGAGATAACGTGGGAGGGCCGTTAGAGAGTCTGGTGAGAGGAAACAAGAGTAGTCGTCGGCGTTATTGAAGTTGACGTTACCGTTAGGGCTAACGGAGAATAGATCGGCCGTTGGATGATCTGTGCAGGTCCATGGAGGGACGTGGACCATCGGATAGTGTTTTCTCTCTCCGATCATCATTTTTTGGTTGCTCTTTGAACTTACTGAAGGTGTGGTTTGGTTTGTATATAAAGTTATAAACTGCTTGAGTAGTGGGGGTTGATGAGTTAATATAACCATGGTTAGGTTAAAAGTGGGAGCATTTTACCTCTACGGCGGTTAAAGTAAATGAGAAATGATAGGATGACAGTGTAACAGGCAAAAGTCTCGTAGAATTCTGACACGATTACAATTGAGAAAGTATTTATTAGGGTTATTTATACTTTGCCCACTGAAAATATCAAAAATTTTAATTTATCTCTCCTACTTAAAAATATTTCACATTATACCCCTCAAATTTCATGACATCCAGTAATTTCACCTCATTAAATTTTTTATTTTTACAGGACTCAAGTTTTCAAAATTATAACTATACATGTTTTTAAATTATGATAAATTGTAGTTTCTCTCAAATTATTATTTGTTTGGTGAATTAATCTTACCAGGATTCTACAACTAATTCATTCAAGAATTTTGAATTTAAATTTTCTATTTATTAAAAATAAATAATATTATGATTACCATGTAAAAAAATAATTTTTATGGATTTTACACAAGTAAAAATCTTAATCTTAGTAATAGCTTAACGAGTAACTCCCCGTCAAAAATAAAAGTCCAGTTACGTCACCATTTAACCCTCTGTCAAAAATAGAAATATGGTCTATATTTAGGAGTGCTCAAATTTTCGATTGTTCGTAAATTTTGACCCATTCTACTNTTTTACACAAGTAAAAATCTTAATCTTAGTAATAGCTTAACGAGTAACTCCCCGTCGAAAATAAAAGTCCAGTTACGTCACCATTTAACCCTCTGTCAAAAAAAGAAATATGGTCTATATTTAAGAGTGCTCAAATTTTCGATTACTCGTAAATTTTGACCCATTCTATTNCCAGGATTCTACAACTAATTCATTCAAGAATTTTGAATTTAAATTTTCTATTTATTAAAAATAAATAATATTATGATTACCATGTAAAAAAATAATTTTTATGGATTTTACACAAGTAAAAATCTTAATCTTAGTAATAGCTTAACGAGTAACTCCCCGTCAAAAATAAAAGTCCAGTTACGTCACCATTTAACCCTCTGTCAAAAATAGAAATATGGTCTATATTTAGGAGTGCTCAAATTTTCGATTGTTCGTAAATTTTGACCCATTCTACTTTGTTGATCGACTATCCAAAGAATCAGATAGGTCAACAGAAGATTTTTTAATATTTCACAAAAAATCTAGTATGAATACGTAATACATACAAAATTTTTGTATTTTTATCCAAAGAATCGAATTTATTATTTTTTTTAGTGTTATGGTTTATTGTATTATTTAATTGATAGANGGTCAACAGAAGATTTTTTAATATTTCACAAAAAATCTAGTATGAATACGTAATACCTACAAAATTTTTGTATTTTTATCCTTGAACTTATATATGTTAATTCTTAAAAATTAAAATTCAAAAATCTAGAAATCCTGATATTATATTGATATTTATGGTTTTCTTGTGCCTTATTGTAATTGTTTATGTATTATCGAATTTATTATTTTTTTTAGTGTTATGGTTTATTGTATTATTTAATTGATAGAGGTTATCTAATTAAATTATTAAAATGATCAAAAAATTAGTAACTAAAAAAAATGTGTTCACCCAACTTACTATCTGATTATTTTGGATGAAATTTAGGTAAAAATAGTATAATTGATAGGATATGATAGACAAAAAAAAAACTCTTTCGTAAAATATCATGTCAATGTTTCACAAAATATTTACTCANACTAAAAAAAATGTGTTCACCCAACTTACTATCTGATTATTTTGGATGAAATTTAGATAAGAATAGTATAATTGATAGGATATGATAGACCAAAAAAAAACTCTTTCGTAAAATATCATGTCAATATTTCACAAAATATTTACTCATGATGATGTAGGCATGTCAAGATTAAAAAAAAAATGTAGGTATGCCAGGATTCAAAAACAAATGTAGGCAAGTTAGGCTCGATCTCTGGTTTGGCCTATATCATCCATCATAAATAAATGTAGCATGAAACAATACAATCAAAGCTATAAATAATTGGCCCCAATAATAGAATGGTGTGGGTAAAAAAGTAATTGACAATTTTAATAAGAGAAACTAAGGGGACACGTAGAGGGTGAGTCATTACTTGGCATTGAAGAAGCCATGTGATGCCGGGTTTTTTTTTTTTTTTGATTCAATAGTTAATGGTCAAAGTTCCGACTAATTTATTTTTTAATTTAGTCAAAGCCCAATTATCTATTTTAAGAATAACTTAAGTAATAACACATACAAACTGTAAATTCAAATAATCTAGAGTTTAAGTCCTGACAATTTATTGAAATTAAATTATAAGAAATTTATTTCTCATAATTATCCTAATTTCAATATGAATAACTTGCCTTCGATTGAATTGAAGAAAAAATTAATCAAAATATATATAAATTAACTCAAATATCTATGACAAATGAAAAAAAAAAAAAATCATACCATCCCATGTGCTGCGGATCTTCCGCGAGAGTAGCATATAAAACTTTAATGACTTTAGCTGAAGCCTTTTGGAAATTTGACTGAAACACAAAACAAAGTTCCAAGGAGTTTTTTTTGTTAATTGTTTCTTAAATACTTGTAGGTTCTAGACCCTACTACGTGTCCTCAATCTCTGGACCTCTGATTGCGGAATGTACGGTATACCAAAGTTGTTTCTCACTACTCATCTCCTAGCTTGACACGACCCATTGTACCTATTAAACTAAATTTTGAGGCAGTGCTTACATTATTAGTACAAGCTAGGTGCTGTCAAGGGAAGAAAGCTATCTTCTTCTTGTGCATAACCCATTTTATTTAAGAGCTTTAGAAACTTGATCTTGATCCTTCACCACCTCAACTTGGCCTGCAACAGAACTCTATAGGGAAAAGTTTAATAAAAATGAATGGAGCATGATTGTGGGAGAGACGGAGATCTTGTTGATGAGGGAGAGGTAGTAATGTTTGAAGTTTTACCTCATATTTTTAGGTGAGAACTTTAATATAGACTGTCATAGCCAAACTTTCACTAATCCATGCGACCACAAACAATTAACGCAATTAACATCTATGAACTACTAAATGCCCGTACCTAAATACATAAACTAATGTCATGCTACTATAATAAATATGAGTCAACGTAAATTTGACAAATTATTATGTCATTAAATTAAGTTAGTCACATATAATATTCTTGTGGGATATCAAATAATAATTACATTATTTTCTGATTTAATAGATTGTGTTTTTACCACATGTTTTCTTAATAAGAAGCAACTCTATTAGCTTATCGACTTAGGTGGTTTAAACATATCTCGGCCCCATGACATTGTGACTTTGTCAAGCCCACAGTTCTCACTATAGATACTCAAGTCGGTGTTGAGGCTAGGGTTTTGATAGTCTGGATTTTCTTTGAAAAACTGTCAAATTGTACAAAATAGAGTGACGATTAATAAATAAAATTAGTGCCTTTTGGGCACCATTGAATGTTAATGACGATTTTTAGATTTTTTATTTTTTTAAATCCTTCTTCTATGTAGCGTTTGTTTAATATTTTGCAATAGTTTCTCTTTTAGTAGACTCAACTATGTATATTAATGAAGAAATGAATGGTGAACTCTTTCTTTCACTAATAACTCCAAGAAGTTTCTTAATGTCAATATTTTCTGTTTCGTCAAAGCCCTGAACCTGTGGTCCTCCTTTGAGTGTGAGTTCAATTGGACCAATTTGTCAAGTTAAGATCAACGTATATACGTAGAAGTAAGAATGGTGCATCGCTTATTTTTTGTTCTCGCTCAGGAGCCAAAATGAACTTTTTTTGTTCAAGTAATATGCACATATAAGTATATATATAATATATTCCTTAGATATTAAGATTGATGGAAATACCTTTTACAACCTACTATGCATTCAATATTTGATGAAATTATATTATTGCTTGAAAAATCTCTTAAGAAAGGCGTTAACAAACATTACACATTAGAGAATTTGTGAGAAAAACAAGAACATTTTATAGAGAAAGTTTACCCAGTGATGAACGATGGACTCACTAAAGGCACATCCAAGTGGGAATGTGTCGCCTTAAAAATTGGATTCACGACGTAACCACGAAGGAAAAAGACGTGTGATTTTGAAGTTTTTTTTTTTTTTTTTGCAATAAAAAAAATAAAAATTTCATGCACAATTCAAATATAGATGAATTGAGAAACATCAGACGTACCAACCAAACACCATTGAGTATAAGGTATTGATTGTCCGTTTAGAAAAAATTGTAGACTCTGATTCTGAATTGGATAAAATGCTAACCTAAGGCCTGCAAGAAGAACTTCTTCTGAATTAGTGCTCAGTACGCCAAACTTCAATGATGACGATGATGATTTGAGAGTGGCCTTTTTTGCTTCCTCATCAAGTGGATTACAAGACATGTCTGGAATAAGAAGGTTATGCTTGTTGGAAAAATAATAATAAATATGACTTTTCATGTTTTATGAGTTATTTTTATACATTTAGTTTTTTGTATTAGTGGGAGACAAAGTAATTGTGGTATTTTAATTCTCCAAGTAATGAAGGAGTGACGTCTTTATTATTTTTATTATTGCATTATATAGTGGGGTTATTTTGTATATCATGTGTTATATATAAGAGTCTATATATATCTTATGTAATACATTCATTTGAATATGAGTGAATTGCAAGAATTTTTCCTATTTTCAATAGTCTTTTCTATTATTTTTTCTAAATGTGTGATAGTCCTCTAGATTCCAACAAAATGGTATAAGAGCTAGGCTTGAATGTTGAAAAAGAGAGAGTGAGAGAAAGATGGTGAACACAATACTTCCATTTCAAATGCCCTAATTCACCAAAAAAAACTATGAGAATTGGTGTATCCCTATGAAGGCAATTCTTGGATCTCAAGACTTATGGGAGATTGTAACAATTGTTTACACAACACTGCAAGATGAAGCTTCCTTAAGTCAAGTCCAAAAGGAAGTCTTGCAAGCTACAAAGAAGAAAGATCTAAAGGCTCTTTCACTCATCCATCAATTGCTTGGATAATACTATGTTACATAAGGTTTCTAGTGCAACCACATCCAAACAAACATGGGATGTTCTGAAAATCGCTCATAATAGAGTGGAAAAAGTCAAGAAAGTTTGCCTCCAACTCTACGAGGTGAATTTGAGGCTTTACGTATGAAGGAATTCGAATTAATTTCAGATTATTTCACAAAAATCTTGGTGGTTGTGAATAATTTGAGAACTTATGGTGATGATCACTATGATGATACCCGGGTGATAGAAAAAATCATCTGTTCATTGGACTCCAAGTTTGACGACATTGTTGTAGCCATTGAAGAGTCTAAAAATTTAGACATAATGATGATTGACAAACTCATGGGATTGTTGTTAGCCCATGAAGAACGGCTAGGCAAGAAGAAGCAAGAGTCGTTGGAACAAGTGTAACAATCCAAGCTTTTTTTCAAAGAAAAAGAAAGAAGGCAAGATGGAAGTCAAAGAGGTAGAGTGCTTGGACATGGATGTGGAGGTCGTGGTGGACATGGTTGAGGTAGAGGAGAAAACTTTGGCCAAAATGCGTCCAACAAAAAAGAAAGAGGTCAAGAATCACATAGTGAAAGAGAACGTGAAAGAGACAACAATTTAAAGCCTTATGGAGAGAGGTATGACAAATCTCATATTCAATGTTATAATTATCATCGATATGACCATTTTGTTTCCGAATGTAGAAATAATTTTGTGGAAGAAAGAGCACACTTTGTTGAAGACAAAGTTGAAGATGTAGAGCCGACCTTATTGTTGGCATACAAAGAAGAACAAAAGGGAGGCAAGAACGTGTTGTACATTGACTCCGGTGCTAGTAATCATATGTGTGAAAATAAAAAGATGTTTGTAGAGCTTGATAAATTGGTAAGTAGAAAAGTCACTTTTGGAGATTCTTCTCAAATTTCAGTAATGGGAAGAGATAATATTTTAATTTGTTTGAAGGATAGAATGCACCAAATTATTTATAATATTTTTTATGTGCCAAACATGAAAAATAATATTTTGAACTTAGGACAAGCTTTAGAAAAAGGTTATGATATTTACATGAAAAATCATAATCTTTCAATAAGATTTGGAAACGGGAATTTGGTTGTCAAAGTGCCGATGACAAGAAATATAATATTTTTGTTAAATATTCAAAGTGATGTGACAAAATGGTTGAAAGCATTTGTTAAAGATTCTTCTTAGTTATGACACTTGAGATTTAGACACTTAAATTTTGGAGGACTAACCTTGTTGTCTAGAAAGAAGATGATGAAATGATTGCCTTCTATCAACCACCCAGATCAACTTTGTGAAGAATGTCTAATTGGAAAGTAAGCTAGAAAGAGCTTTTCCAAAGAATCTATTTCAAGAGTAACACTTGAGATAGTTGTGAATGAAAAGGGATACTCAAATTAAGAGTAGAACCCCGTATATATATCCAAAAATAATACAGAGTGACTTAAACATCATTGTAGTTTAGGCAAAATATAAAAATCATAGTAAGGGTAAAAAAGGGAAAAGAAATCCTAATAAACCTAGACTATCTATACTCCAACACTCCCCCTCAAGCTAGGCGCAAAAATGTCAACTAAGCCAAGCTTGACAACGGAGTCCCGAAGAATAGACAGAGTGACAGGTTTGGTAAAAACATCCGCAACTTGATCACTGGTCCCCACAAACGATGGAGTAACAAGACCACTGCTGACCTTCTCCCGAAGAAAGTGAACATCGATCTCTATATGCTTCGTTCTCTCATGTAGTACAGAGTCAGAAGCGAGCTGAATAGCAGATTGATTATCACAATATAATGTGGATGGAGAGGTCACTGAAAAACCCAACTCGTCAAGAATCGATCGTAGCCAGATAATCTCACATGTGCCAAGTGCCAATGCCCGATACTCTGCCTCTGCGGACGAGCGGGAGACAACTGCCTGCTTCTTGCTCTTCCAAGAGATAAGATGAGTCCCTCGAAAAGCACAGAAACCCGTAGTAGATCGACCATCACATGCTCCCCCATAATCTGAATCTGAATAACAGGCTAGAGAACCGGTCTGAGATCCTGATGCATAAAACAACCCAAGTCCAGGACAAGACTTGAGGTACCGAAGAATATGATAAACTGCATCAAGATGAGGCTGACATGGCCTATGCATGAACTGACTAACTCGGCTGACTGCGAATGAAATGTCCGGCCTAGTATTGGCTAAGTAGATAAGTCTACCTACCAATCTTTGATAAACTGTCGGATCTTTCAACTCCTCACCTTCAGCAGTAAGCTTCAGGTTTGGAATCATAGGTGATGATGCCGGTTTGCACCCCAACATCCCAGTGTCTGAAAGAAGATCCAAAACATACTTTCTCTGAGAAAGAACAATACCTCTGCTTCTACGGGCAACCTCAATCCCAAGAAAGTATCGCAGAAATCCAAGATCCTTCACATCGAAGGCCTTCCCAAGGTCTATCTTGACCTGCGCAGTCCCAGAAACATCATCACCAGTAATAATAATATCATCAACATATACCAGAAGGATGACACACTGTCCAGAAGTATTCCGTCGAATAAAGCAGGTATGATCAGAATGACACCTGGTGAACCCCAATCGTATGACTACATCACTGAAGCGAGAGAACCAGGCTCGTGGCGACTGTTTCAGTCCATAAAGAGACTTACGCAGTCGACATACCTTTCCAGCATACTCCCCCTCACCACGAAAGCCCGGTGGTGCATCCATATAAATAATCTCGTCCAGATCACCGTGAAGAAACGCATTCTTCACATCTAATTGATGAAGAGGCCAAGAGTACTCCGCAGCCAGAGAAATAATTAACCGAACAGTAGTCAATTTTGCCACGGGGGCAAATGTAGCACCAAAGTCACGACCTGGTACCTGAGTAAAGCCCTTCGCCACAAGTCTAGCCTTGTAACGATCAATAGTACCATCTGCCAGAAACTTCAGGGTGTAAACCCAGCGACAGCCAACAGGCTTCACCCCTGAAGGTAAGGAGACAAGATCCCATGTATGATTACGCTGAAGAGCGTCCATCTCTGTCTGCATGGCAAGAACCCACTGGGGCTCCCGCATAGCTTCCGAAATAGAGCGAGGAACCAGCGTATCTGATAAGGCCATAGTATAAGCTCGAAATGTGGGAGACAGATTACCATAAGAAACATAAGCAGAGATCGGATATAAAATCTTGGCGGTCCAACCATATCGATCAACTGGACGGCGATCACGCCTTGGATAACGACGCCCTAAATCACCATCCTCTACTGATAATATCTTATCAGGTAAAGTAACTGGCTCAGCACCTGTAATCTCATCAGTACTAACAACAGGTGCATCAATATGCTCAACAAACTGAGAAGTATTACCTGCATCGCCTGAGGTAGAGGGGATATCAGCAGGGTGATGAGAGCGAGGACAACGAGCATACACCTGCAAAGGAAGAGAGACTGGTAACTCTGTACTGACAGGGATGAGTGACTCCTTGGGAGGAAAAACGGATGACCCTGTAGGGATAGTGATCAATGACTCTGACTCTTGTGGTAATGGAAAATCAAAGGGAGTATCATCAACTGGAGGGGCAGACAAAGGACTGAAAGGAAAATAAGGAATATGCTCAAGAAAGGTAACATCTAGACTGTGATACATACGACGCCTAATAGGATCATAACATCGATACCCCTTAGATTGATGACAATAGCCCACAAAGATACAACGAATCGCTTTATCATCAAGTTTATGACGAGTAGGAGACCGATCCTGAACAAAACATGTGCATCCAAAAACACGAGGGGGGACCGGAAAAAGTGTCCGCTCAGGAAATAAGACCTGTAAGGGAGCCTTATGCTGAAGAACACGACTCGGCGTACGATTGCACAGAAAGGTAGAAGTCAAAACAGCAAAATGCCAATAAGATTTTGGTACCCTCATGCCTCTAAGCAGACAACGTACCATCCCTATCAAACTCCTATTTTTCCTCTCAGCAACACCATTTTGCTCAGGAGTATATGGACAAGTGAGTTGCTGAAGGATACCCTGAGAAGAAAGGTGAGACACTAAAGCATCAGACACATATTCTTTGGCATTATCCGAACGAAGAGCACGAACAATGACATCGAATTGTGTCTTAATCATCTGTAAAAACTGAGTGATTATAGGGAGCACATCAGACTTCCTATGCAAAAGGTAGACCCAAGTACAACGGGTATGATCATCTATAAATGTCACATAATATCTGGCACCTGACAGAGCAGTAACGGGAGAGGGTCCCCAAATATCAGAGTGTATTAGGTCAAATGGCTTGGGTGACTGGTGCATGCGAGGAATATAATTGGCCCTAACATGTTTTGATAGGGAACAGATAACGCAATCAAGTTTA